GGTGATGATGATGATGATGGTGATGATTGTGATGATGATGATGATGATGGTGATGATGATGATGATGGTGGTGGTGGTGACACAAAACCACCTCTGAAACCTGAACTAGCAACAGAAACAACGAAGAGGAGGAACAAGTCCAGGACACAGAGTTGTGATCAGTTCAGACGGCGGTGAAAATCAGACACCGTAAAGCAGATTGTTAACATGATCTTAGGGAATACTGTTGTTGTCTCATGAGTGAAGCCCAAGCCTCCAAGTGTTCCAGCTGTCAGACCCAAATGTCGTGTTTAGAGTTATATTTGGTTTTTACCCATCAGCTTCTGTGGTCTGACCCGTTGTCTCCTTGTTCCAGGCCTTACGTCTACGCCATGCACTCTGAGCAGCCAGACACATACGGGCACAGGATGGGGCCCATGGGCACAGACGTGAGTTCTGTCTGCAGGGGTGTGTGTGCGCCTGCGTGCTTGAGTTTATTTATCCTGGTGTGTGTTTTCAGCTCAATAACCCTCTCAGAGCTATCGACAGAGTTGTTGGCCAGCTGATGGATGGACTGAAGCAGATGAAACTACACCGCTGTGTCAACATCATCCTGGTCGGAGATCATGGTACACACACACACACACACACACACACACACACACCTGGCCTTGTCTGGAGCTCTTTAACGCTCACATATACTAAAACCTCAGGTTTTACTGAGGTCCTTTACCTAAATGCTCATCTGTGAACTCATCAGTTTTTCAGGCTGAGACACGTAAACAACTCTTTCACACCCCTTCGTTCAGGAATGGAGGAGGCCCACTGTGACCGCACCGAGTTCCTCAGTAACTATTTGACCAGCGTTGATGACATCACTCTCATCCCTGGATCTCTTGGCAGAATACGCGCCAGACACCCCAACTCTAAATGTGAGTAACGGAGTATTTCATGTCTGAATAAAGTAAGTAAATGTTGTTTACATAGCACTCCTCACAGATGCTTCACATAGGTCAGAACAAAACGTCATAAAATCTCGTCTCGTCTCGTCTTCCTCCGCTTATCCGGGTCCGGGTCGCGGGGGCAGCATCCCAACTAGGGAGCTCCAGACCGTCCTCTCCCCGGCCTTGTCCACCAGCTCCTCCGGCAGGACCCCAAGGCGTTCCCGGACCAGATTGGAGATGTAACCTCTCCAACGTGTCCTGGGTCGACCCGGGGGCCTCCTGCCGACAGGACATGCCCGAAACACCTCCCCAGGGAAGCGTCCAGGAGGCATCCTGACCAGATGCCCAAACCACCTCAACTGGCTCCTTTCGATCCGGAGGAGCAGCGGTTCTACTCCGAGTCCCTCCCGAATGTCCGAGCTCCTCACCCTATCTCTAAGGCTGAGCCCGGCCACCCTACGGAGGAAACTCATTTCGGCCGCTTGTATCCGCGATCTCGTTCTTTCGGTCATTACCAAAAGCTCATGACCATAGGTGAGGATTGGGACGTAGATCGACCGGTAAATCGAGAGCCTGGCTTTCTGGCTCAGCTCCCTCTTCCCCACGACAGATCGGCTCAGCGTCCGCATCACTGCAGACGCCGAACCAATCCGCCTGTCGATCTCCCGATCCCTCCTACCCTCACTCGTGAACAAGACCCCGAGATACTTAAACTCCTCCACTTGAGGGAGGACCTCTCCCCCGACCCGGAGGTGGCAAGCCACCCTTTTCCGGTCGAGAACCATGGTCTCAGATTTGGAGGTGCTGATCCTCATCCCAGCCGCTTCACATTCGGCCGCGAACCTACCCAGCAAGAGCTGAAGGTCAGAGCTGGATGAAGCTAGGAGGACCACATCATCCGCAAAAAGCAGAGACGAGATTCTCCCGCCACCAAACTCGACACACTCCACACCAGGGCTGCGTCTAGAAATTCTGTCCATAAAAGTGATGAACAGAACCGGTGACAAAGGGCAGCCCTGGCGGAGTCCAACCCTCACTGGGAACAGGTCCGACTTACTACCGGCTATGCGGACCAAACTCACGCTCCTCTGGTAAAGGGACTGGATGGCCCTCAACAGAAAGCCACCCACCCCATACTCCTGGAGTGTCCCCCACAGGGTGCCCCTGGGGACACGGTCATAAGCCTTCTCCAAATCCACAAAGCACATGTGGATTGGTCGGGCAAACTCCCATGCCCCCTCCATCACCCTTGCAAGGGTATAGAGCTGGTCCACAGTTCCACGGCCAGGACGAAAACCACATTGCTCCTCCTCTATCTGAGATTCAACTATCGATCGGACCCTCCTCTCCAGTACCTTGGAGTAGACCTTTCCAGGGAGGCTGAGGAGTGTGATCCCCCTATAGTTGGAACACACCCTCAGGTCACCCTTCTTAAAGATGGGGACCACCACCCCGGTCTGCCACTCCCTAGGAACTGCCCCCGATGACCACGCAATGTTGTAGCGACGTGTCAACCATGACAGCCCTACAACATCCATAGCCTTGAGATACCCAGGACGAACCTCATCCGCCCCCGGGGCTCCGCCGCTGTGTAGTTGTTTGACTACCTCAGCAACTTCTGCCCCCGAGATCGGACAGTCCATCCCCAGGCCTCCCAGCTCTGGTTCCTCCTCGGAATGCGCATTGGTGGGATTGAGGAGCTCCTCAAAGTATTCCTTCCACCGTCATAAAATCATAAAGATAAAAACAAAGCCATAAAATACCCTCAAACTAATGAAAGATGATGACTTTTGAGTTAGAAATAAGAAAATAAAAGCCAGACATGAAGGCTGATGAATGTTCCAGGTTGTTTTGCACCAGTTCAGAGTTAGACTTTTAGCATCGATCTATGGCCAACACCAAACATGTCCATGAAGTCCCTCTCACGACGTCCCAGCACCTTCCAGAATGACCTGTTTCAGGGCTCAGTGACCCCAAGGACACAAGCTGCTGCCGGCCAGGTGTGGGCTCACCTACAGCTACTGGACCGGACTGTATAGGGACAGAAAACACTGCTACAGTCTAACCAGGTGTTTGTCCTTCCAGATGATCCCAAGGCTGTTGTTGCAAATCTAACAGTAAGTGATTGAATTCAGCATCCTCAGCCGGTGACACATCTCTGTGGTGTGGAACACTGTTAGAAATGAAGGATTTGTAATGAAAATAAATGAATTCTTCCAGAAATCAAGTCTGTGACCTCTGATTGGTGCAACGTACCAACGATTGTTTCCTGTCTTCACCTGTTGTTCCAGTGTAGGAGAGCAGACCAGCACTTTAAGCCGTACCTGAAACAGCACCTACCCAAGAGGCTGCACTACGCCAACAATCGGCGCATTGAAGACATTCACCTGCTGGTGGACAGGAAGTGGCATGTAGCCAGGTACCGTAGCAGCAGGGATGTTCTGATCCAGATCAAGGTTCTTGGTCTTTTCCACTGATTGGTATCAGCGGGGTGACTCATTTCTCCTGGTCTCCACGGTCAAGTCGCAGTCTGTTGAGTCCAAGTCCCACCCACTTCCTTAATGTTCTGGTTAAAGTCACACAGGATCAGTCCTAGTCGAGTCCGAGTCAAGTCACTGGGTCCTACAGGCCAAGTGTCAGTCCAAGTCCCAAAAGAGTCTTCTAGTCCAAGTCTAACGTCCAACACACTTGTTACGTTTGCACCCAGGAGACCAAGTGATGTTGCTGTTAGCAGATGCTAAAGCTAGCTTGTTATATGAGGTGAAGCCAGTCAGCTGTTCCTCCGGCACAGCTAACCAGACGTAGGTCGTGTTTTCATTCTGTGGAGAAAACGTCGAGTGTCCTTACTTCAGCTTTCAGTTTGTGGTTGACAGCAGAAAGTTTGTTGTTCTCACCGACACGTGGGATCGCACATGGATGTGTCAACACGCCGAGACCTTCACTCACTCATTTTTAGAGTTTTGGTCTTCAACTTTCAAGTATGATGCAGAATTATCCTGATGCTGCTTTTCAGGCGTGTGTGTGTGTGTGTGTGTGTGTGTGTGTGTGTGTGTGTGTGTTGTTTTATATTTGAAGTTCAATAAACATTGAGGTTTATTGACTTATTGAAATTATACTGCACACAGTGAGTATTCAGTTGTTTTTCACAACCAATGGCAACAAAATTCTTCAAAAATCAGTATCGGCATCGGCTTTAAAAGAACCCATATCGGTACATACAAGTTTCATACACTATTACTTTTCTGAAAAAATGGTGAAACATAAACCCTACTATAATAAAAGTAAACAATAATAAAAAAAATAACTATCACTGAAAGGCTAATGAATACATGCGGCCAGTATGAGTGTAAATTAATGCAAATATTAGAAATAAAAAAGAGAGCAAGTGGAAATCGAGGATTGTGGCCAGTTTAGTTCACGCTTCTGTTCTGCACTACAAACACAAACCATAGATTTTAGTATTCAGATCAAGAGAAAATGTAAAATCAGTCAGAACTTTTGCTTTAAAACAACCAAAGTCGCACAGCGTGCTGGACAGCGTTAAAAACACAAAGTAAAGACAGACTTTGTCAGAAGAAAACGTTCTTGACTTTGGCCCAAATGTCACAATTTAGGAGTAATTTAATCATTTAGATTTATGCCGAAGAGTCCGATTCCTGCGGGCTCGGCCCACTGAGGTCTGATTCCTGCGGGCTCGGCCCACTGAGGTCCGATACCTGCGGGCTCGGCCCACTGAGGTCCGATACCTGCGGGCTCGGCCCACTGAGGTCCGATTCCTGCGGGCTCGGCCCACTGAGGTCTGATTCCTGCGGGCTCGGCCCACTGGGCTCAGATTCCTGCGGGCTCGGCCCACTGGGCTCAGATTCCTGTGGGCTCGGCCCACTGGGCTCAGATTCCTGTGGGCTCGGCCCACTGGGCTCAGATTCCTGCGGGCTCGGCCCACTGAGGTCCGATACCTGCGGGCTCGGCCCACTGAGGTCCGATTCCTGCGGGCTCGGCCCACTGGGCTCAGATTCCTGCTGGCTCGGCCCACTGAGGTCCGATTCCTGCGGGCTCGGCCCACTGGGCTCAGATTCCTGCGGGCTCGGCCCACTGGGCTCAGATTCCTGCGGGCTCGGCCCACTGAGGTCCGATTCCTGCGGGCTCGGCCCACTGGGCTCAGATTCCTGCGGGCTCGGCCCACTGGGCTCAGATTCCTGCGGGCTCGGCCCACTGAGGTCCGATACCTGCGGGCTCGGCCCACTGAGGTCCGATTCCTGCGGGCTCGGCCCACTGGGCTCAGATTCCTGCGGGCTCGGCCCACTGAGGTCCGATACCTGCGGGCTCGGCCCACTGAGGTCCGATTCCTGCGGGCTCGGCCCACTGGGCTCAGATTCCTGCGGGCTCGGCCCACTGAGGTCCGATTCCTGCGGGCTCGGCCCACTGGGCTCAGATTCCTGCGGGCTCGGCCCACTGGGCTCAGATTCCTGCGGGCTCGGCCCACTGAGGTCCGATTCCTGCGGGCTCGGCCCACTGAGGTCCGATTCCTGCGGGCTCGGCCCACTGGGCTCAGATTCCTGCGGGCTCGGCCCACTGAGGTCCGATTCCTGCGGGCTCGGCCCACTGGGCTCAGATTCCTGCGGGCTCGGCCCACTGAGGTCCGATACCTGCGGGCTCGGCCCACTGAGGTCCGATTCCTGCGGGCTCGGCCCACTGCGCTCAGATTCCTGCGGGCTCGGCCCACTGGGCTCAGATTCCTGCGGGCTCGGCCCACTGAGGTCCGATTCCTGCGGGCTCGGCCCACTGGGCTCAGATTCCTGCGGGCTCGGCCCACTGAGGTCCGATTCCTGCGGGCTCGGCCCACTGGGCTCAGATTCCTGCGGGCTCGGCCCACTGAGGTCTGATTCCTGCGGGCTCGGCCCACTGGGCTCAGATTCCTGCGGGCTCGGCCCACTGAGGTCCGATTCCTGCGGGCTCGGCCCACTGGGCTCAGATTCCTGCGGGCTCGGCCCACTGAGGTCCGATACCTGCGGGCTCGGCCCACTGAGGTCCGATACCTGCGGGCTCGGCCCACTGAGGTCCGATTCCTGCGGGCTCGGCCCACTGGGCTCAGATTCCTGCGGGCTCGGCCCACTGGGCTCAGATTCCTGCGGGCTCGGCCCACTGAGGTCCGATACCTGCGGGCTCGGCCCACTGGGCTCAGATTCCTGCGGGCTCGGCCCACTGAGGTCCGATTCCTGCGGGCTCGGCCCACTGGGCTCAGATTCCTGCGGGCTCGGCCCACTGGGCTCAGATTCCTGCGGGCTCGGCCCACTGAGGTCCGATTCCTGCGGGCTCGGCCCACTGAGGTCCGATTCCTGCGGGCTCGGCCCACTGGGCTCAGATTCCTGCGGGCTCGGCCCACTGAGGTCCGATTCCTGCGGGCTCGGCCCACTGGGCTCAGATTCCTGCGGGCTCGGCCCACTGAGGTCCGATTCCTGCGGGCTCGGCCCACTGGGCTCAGATTCCTGCGGGCTCGGCCCACTGAGGTCCGATACCTGCGGGCTCGGCCCACTGAGGTCCGATTCCTGCGGGCTCGGCCCACTGCGCTCAGATTCCTGCGGGCTCGGCCCACTGGGCTCAGATTCCTGCGGGCTCGGCCCACTGAGGTCCGATTCCTGCGGGCTCGGCCCACTGGGCTCAGATTCCTGCGGGCTCGGCCCACTGAGGTCCGATTCCTGCGGGCTCGGCCCACTGGGCTCAGATTCCTGCGGGCTCGGCCCACTGAGGTCTGATTCCTGCGGGCTCGGCCCACTGGGCTCAGATTCCTGCGGGCTCGGCCCACTGAGGTCCGATTCCTGCGGGCTCGGCCCACTGGGCTCAGATTCCTGCGGGCTCGGCCCACTGAGGTCCGATACCTGCGGGCTCGGCCCACTGAGGTCCGATACCTGCGGGCTCGGCCCACTGAGGTCCGATTCCTGCGGGCTCGGCCCACTGAGGTCCGATTCCTGCGGGCTCGGCCCACTGGGCTCAGATTCCTGCTGGCTCGGCCCACTGAGGTCCGATTCCTGCGGGCTCGGCCCACTGGGCTCAGATTCCTGCGGGCTCGGCCCACTGAGGTCCGATTCCTGCGGGCTCGGCCCACTGGCTGAGGAATAACAACAGATCCATCAAACAGAACCAAAGGTTTCAGCTCTGATGCAGGAGATTGGATTGTTGTTATTTTACGGGGTTAGGGTTCTGCACTTGGACAGAGCGCAGGACACTCGACTCACTGTCCAACCTTCATTGCAGGAAGGTTCCTGAGGGCAGGCGGTACTGTGGCTTCTCGGGGGACCATGGGTATGACAATAAGATCAACAGCATGCAGGTATTCCTCGTCTGGAACAACTAACCTCCAGAACCTTCTAGATGTGCCTGAAGTGATGAATTTCTTCAGGGGAAACGTCAGAGATGAGAAGTTATTGTTTTAAGTCATGTGACCTGTGACCTCTGACTTTCAGACCATCTTTTTGGGATTTGGACCTCAGTTTAAATTCAAGACTAAAGTTCCAGCGTTTGAGAACATCGAGCTGTATAACGTGATGTGTGGTAAGACCTCCAGATAAGTCGTGGGTTCGGTTGGACTCGCACTCGATGAGCTGACCCATTTGTGTTCTGGTCCCAGATCTGCTGGGTCTGAAGCCAGCTCCCAACAACGGCACCCACGGCAGTCTGAACCACCTGCTCAGGAGCCCCTCCTTCAGACCCACCATGCCAGAGGAAGTTTCCAGGCCAACAGCCTCTAATCTTGTTCCCATGGTAACAGATGACCTGGGCTGCAGCTGTGATGAAAAGGTCAGACTTGGTGGGGGCCTGGACTTGCTGAGAGGCATGTTATCTTTTAGCAGCACAGCTCACATGTATCAGTGAGCAGACCAGTCTGAAACCATCCTGGTCTGGTTCTCCCAGTTCCACAACAGTCAGGTGAATTTTATCTACTCTATGTAGGAACTGCTGCGTCTGGCATTTTTACCCGCTTTAACCTTGTTTTTGAACACAAGCAAAGCATTAGCCCCACCCAGACCTGACTACCACCACACCTGTATAGTAAAGAAACACACCTGTATAGTAAAGAAACACACCTGTATAGTAAAGGAACACACCTGTATAGTAAAGAAACACACCTGTATAGTAAAGAAACACACCTGTATAGTAAAAGAACACACCTGTATAGTAAAGAAACACACCTGTATAGTAAAGGAACACACCTGTATAGTAAAGGAACACACCTGTATAGTAAAGAAACACACCTGTATAGTAAAGAAACACACCTGTATAGTAAAGGAACACACCTGTATAGTAAAGGAACACACCTGTATAGTAAAGGAACACACCTGTATAGTAAAGGAACACACCTGTATAGTAAAGAAACACACCTGTATAGTAAAGGAACACACCTGTATAGTAAAGAAACACACCTGTATAGTAAAGGAACACACCTGTATAGTAAAGGAACACACCTGTATAGTAAAGAAACACACCTGTATAGTAAAGGAACACACCTGTATAGTAAAGAAACACACCTGTATAGTAAAGAAACACACCTGTATAGTAAAGGAACACACCTGTATAGTAAAGAAACACACCTGTATAGTAAAGAAACACACCTGTATAGTAAAGGAACACACCTGTATAGTAAAGGAACACACCTGTATAGTAAAGAAACACACCTGTATAGTAAAGGAACACACCTGTATAGTAAAGAAACACACCTGTATAGTAAAGAAACACACCTGTATAGTAAAGAAACACACCTGCATAGTAAAGGAACACACCTGTATAGTAAAGGAACACACCTGTATAGTAAAGGAACACACCTGTATAGTAAAGGAACACACCTGTATAGTAAAGAAACACACCTGTATAGTAAAGAAACACACCTGTATAGTAAAGGAACACACCTGTATAGTAAAGGAACACACCTGTATAGTAAAGAAACACACCTGTAAATCATCATTTTCTTGACATTTCTGCCCCTTTTGGTGAAACCCGCAGATCACTTCATTTCTGTTTCTGCTCCTGAGACCCAAATAACTCGACAGTGGTGAAGCTCTAACTCGCTGTTGGGTCATCAGCTAGCTAGCAATAGCCAGTGCGGGTGAGCCGAGTCACGATTAGCACCAACAAAGACCTTGGAATCTTTAAACCTTTAAATCTTTATTGTTTTTAAATTTTTTTTATTTTATTTTCAGCTGAAAATGAAGCGAAGGGTAAATGCAACTCCTCAGCAGTACAACAAAAAGAAAAGGGGCGGGAAAACAAATATGTAACCTCTTCTCATTGGCTGCTACCTGCCGTAACTGAAGAGGCCAAACACACCTCCTGGCTTTTGGGGTTGAAAAAGGCTTCAGCCATCATTTATGGTGGTTGTAAAACCCAATCTATGACCAAACCATTGCTCTTTACTGTCACACAGCCCAGTAAGGTGCTGGTTTCATTCACCATCATGTCTCAGAGCTCAGCAAGCCCGTTGGTATCGTTTATCAACATATGGCCAAAGTTTTCAACCTGGAATTTTGGAATTTTTGGCCTAAATAACCCGATGTTAGCCATCAGCAGGCTCGACTTGGGCTCTGTGACGCTGCCTTTGGTCAGGATGATGCTAACCATAGAATGATGCTAGCTTGAGCTACTGCTAATGCTAGCCTGAGCTGCTAACATACTTGATATACAACAAAGAGGAATGTTGAAGCACCACTCACGCTCCAGGATGAAATAGTTGGCAGGGCAAACTGGTCTTTCCCTTGTAGGACTTTTTATGGGATGTGTTAGGCCCTTTCTCAGGACTCCTGGGCCATTGTGAGCCTCAGTAAAGTTTCACATGTTTTATAGAGGCTTAAAAGAACAGTTCCACCTTTAATTGATTGATCAATTACGCCATTATTGGATCGAGAGGGGTTGGAGACCAACAGAGCACTAAGGCAGAGATTATCTCTGTCTGTCCCCAAAACAATTCTTATCTGAATCTGGTGCCCTTGAGCCTGTGTGGCTGAAGTGGAAATGTGGAATGCTGTCATCACCATGGCAACTCTGTCTCCCTATCCCAGCCTGGGCGGGACTGTGACCGGTGAAGGCCGTGGAACCGTCTCTAGGAGTCACTGTGCTCTCTAACCCATTATCTCCCTCCCCTGTCCAAACGGAGGTGATGAGCGCTGCTCCATGTGGCTGCACGCACTGAAGTGAGGAGAGTCCCAACCCTACCTTCCCACCTAGTGAACACCTATGTTGTGTAATGTCTGAAGTCTGTGTGCATATCTGTCTGAGGTGTTTTTTTGCAGAGCAAAGCTGCCCTCCCTGTGGAGGGTAACTCTGAAGTGCCCCCCCACCCCCCCACCCCCGACTCTATCCTCATATAAACCCTCTTGATCTATAACGGTAGCACGACTCGGGTTACGAATGACCACAGTCACCAATTCTTGTCATGTGTCTATCTCTGTATGTCTGATCTCAGCATTGTGTGTACTGAATCCCTCTGGGATTAATAAAGTATTTTTGAATTTGAAGATGTGAAACGATTGGTTGTTTTGGTTCTTCCTGCAGAGCCAAAACGCCCCGCACTGTTTGTGTTTGTTTAACTGTGTTTGTGATTTCCATGTAGATCTCTGGCAAGAGATTGTTTCAATCTCCGATCTTTTTGCAGTTGCGTGTAAAAAGTAGAGGCCAGAGAGGTCTGAAAGTGACCCTTGTACGAGGCTATAACCTGGAGTCACTGTGGCTCTGTCTCTTACAGAACAAAGTGGAGGAGCTAAACCAGCGATTGAGGCAAGCTATTGATGGTCAGTTTGGTATGAATGAGAAAATGACTGATGTGTTGTGTCTGCAGGCACCGTGGGAACGCTTCTGACCCAAGCACACTGTCTGGGTCTCGGTTGAATGAAATGGTTTAACTTGAGCTTATTACTAATAGCTTCTATGTTTATGGTTAAAACTTGGTGGTGAAAAAGTGCTAAAACACTTTCACGCCTCCTTTTTTCCTGTTACGGCGAGCTCCTTTTGCTTTTATCGTGCTAAATGCAGCTGCAGTTAAATGTTTAATGTATTTATCAGCTCCCCGAGCGGGGGTGATCCGGCTTTAGTCGTGGCTTTAGGCGCCGCTCTCGCTGCTGTTTGTTCACATCTTATCAGCCTTGTTCCATGACCGCCTCTCTGTCCCACGTCCCTCCGTGTCCTCTGCCTCTCAGACAACAGGAACCTGCCGTTTGGCCGACCTGCTGTCCTTTTCCACACCAAATACACCATCCTCCACCACACCGACTACATCAGTGGCTACAGCGAGACGCTTTTCATGCCTCTCTGGTCATCCTACACAGTCAGCAGACAGGTAAGTCTCTCTCTACCTGCAGCTGTCAGAAACACAGAAGCAGCCCCTAGTGCTGTAGTGCCCCTGCGTGGCCTGTGCGTGGCGCTGTCACGCTGCTGGAGAAAAGCAGAGCGTACCCACGGCCCAGTCCCAACACCCGCCCTGCGGTCAGCAGAGGGCACTTGGAGAAAGTGTGCAGCAAGGCTTCGAGTGCGTGGTGCACAAGTGCGCAAATAATTAATGCCAAATTGAGACGGAGCGTTGCATCATCGATCATGCCGGGAAGCTGGTGATGCTTTTTTAAAAACCTTTATTAACAACTTTCAAACAAACAACCAAACAGTTATTTGACATAAATTTAAATTCATTTGTCTGAAACGTTCAGAGCATCATCCAATCATCCTGAAACAAACTAAACTAATTCATTAGAAACACGTATTTTCAGAGAAGCACCAGAGGAGGTGGAGCATCGACGCGGACTCGGGTGAAGCGTGGATCATGGGGGCAAAAGGAGCGTGGTCAACTTCCGCTCTTGAGAATCGAGACACCCTACACACACACACACACACACACCTCTGGTCGGGATTGCACAATAGAAGGGGCGTAAGTGTGAAAGTGCGAGTATTGGGACAGGGCCACCGAGTATAATCTGTAATCTGGGGGTCAGAGGTCACAGGTGCAGCTATGACATCACTGGTTTCACAAGGTTGTGTTTTGGCTAAATCCATGAAAACATAAAGGTGCTCTAATAGTCTAAAACTGAGTCCCACTACACGAGTAAAGAAGACCAGGTCCCCATGAAGCTCCACCAGGCGTGAGGGCTTCTGTGGCTCAGGTAGGAGAAGACTTGGACGATGGTCAGCTGTAAACCAGAGGCCGAGCCGTGTTGGTTTTCCTATCGCCGATACCGATGTAGAGGTCAGCTAACGGCTGATATTTACGCAGGTGTAGTGTTGAGGTGTGTTCAGCACCCTCCGCTAGCCACATGAGCTCTGACCTACAGGGTTAAAACCGTAACGTCTCCTCCGTGTCCCCCTCAGGTGGAGGTGTCTCCTGTCCCTGATGTTCTGTCCAACTGTGTGAGACCAGACCCCCGAGTCGCTCCAGCGTTCAGTCAGTCATGCAGCAACTACAGAGCAGAGAGACACATCACACATGGCTTCCTGTACCCACCACGTAGGTGTTCTCCCTACTCCGAACCTCTTCCCATCAGGCCTCGATGCTGAATCAGACGTTTTCTCTCTGGACCTTTTCTTCTTCGGGTTTGGGTTCTGTTGGTCTGAGCTCTCTCAGTGATTTACAGGTCAGACATGAACCTTTGGCCTCTGCATGGACCCCTTCCACAGGTCTTAAACAGGTTTACCTTGTTATCGTTGCCCGTACCTTCATGAGATGTGAAGTGTTTGTTATCGTGAAGAAATGTCTGACTTGAAGCTTTAGTTAGAAGATCTCAGATCGTCTCAGGAGCAGAGAGAAGTGCAGAATGAAAACGTTTCAGTGGAAATCTCAGTCGTGCTCCTCCTTCTAGAGGAACTTCTTTACTTCCTGGTTTCCCCAGACGACTGGAGCTATGCAGGATGCTCCGCCCACTACATGTGAGGGTCACTGTGCTCAGGTATGACGCGTGTTCATCATCGTCATCTGTCTCCACAGAGCTGTCGTCAAACTTGGACAAGAAGTACGATGCAGTCCTCATCACCAACACTGTGCCCATGTATCCCGCCTTTAGAAGTGAGTTATTCTTTCAGGTGTTTATGACGAACAACCTGCTGCACCAAGAAGGCTTTAGACTTCACCTGGGTCTGTTTACCCCCCACAGGAGTATGGGGTCACCTGCAAAGGACGCTGGTGAAGAAGTACGCCACTGAGAGGAATGGGGTGAACGTTCTTGTTGGACCCATATTTGACTACAACTACGATGGAGCGAGAGACTCGGCGGAGAAGATTAAAGAGTAGGAGCAGTTACACACACTCAGCGCTCAGACATGAACAGTGGAGCAGGATGGCTCCGATTAACAGCTGCACCGTCGGCAGCTGCTGGGTCGATGCCGTCCGCCGGTCTGCTGGTGGACGGCACTTCCTGGCGGCCAGTGCTGGTCATGAGGAAGGTAGCGGCTGGCTCTCTGTTGGTCCCAGGCGCTAAGCGGTTTACCAGCTGGAGCCAGCGAGCTGCTGCGCCCTTCAGTCATCGAGTAACGGTGAAGGGGCGGTCCTGTACTCATCTGAAAACATCACCAGTGGTCCTCTGGTGTACAGCCCAACCTGTCCATGATGGCGCGTGGCAGGTTCTTCTGATTTGTGCGGGCCTGCCAGATCATCCCTGTTCCTCAGCACGACTCTTATTGGTTGGGTCCAGCTGGGCGGCCTTTCCATCAGTAATGGGGCTGTTAGCTTTATTCTGCTGGTTCAGCTCCTTCCTGACTGGAGCACCACAGCGGCTGAAGCCCTGGTCTACATGGTAAATGGTCTGCGTTTGTATAGCGCCTTCTTAGGGTTCTACAACCCCCCAAGGCTCTTCACAGCCAGTCATCCACCCACTCACACACTGGTGATCATGAGCTACGATGCAGCCACAGCTGCCCTGTCGGGTAACCCTCCGATCACCGGACAACGGGCTCTACCTCCTGAGCTCCTGCTGCCCTACAGGTCCATCTCCATCCTACCAACTGGAATTTCCCCTTCCTTCTGACCTGGAATCTGTTTTTCACTTTTCACAGTCAAACACCTTGACTCCGGTCTGGAGTCGTGTGCGTTGCCTTCAGCAGGGTTGAGGAGCTGGAGAACCTTCATGAAGCCGATGTTGAGGTTAGATTTGTTTTTCAGGTTTGTGAGTGGAGCTCTTCCCATCCCTACACATTACTTTGTGGTCCTGACCAGCTGTTTGGACTTCACCCAGGCTGCAGACTCCTGCAGCGGACCGCTCAGCAGCGCCGCCTTCATCCTGCCACACCGACCCAACAACGATGAGACCTGCAATGTAAGAACAATCACTTCTATGTGCATGTTTGTGTTCTTTGGACCAAGAAATGGCAAACACGTGTAGCGGACTGAACCGTGAATGCTACAGCCACCTCAGTCAATCAATCAAAGCTTTATTTATAAAGCGCCTTCCCTGTCGGGAAGCCCAAGGCGCTGAACGCGGTACATAAGAAATGTGAAACACGATGAATAAATAGATAATAAAGCAATTCAAATAGAGCAAAAAAGGTAAAACATTAAAGTAGAAAACGAGATAAAGAGAAAAGAGGGCCGACCTCAAACACGTTCAGGAAACGCCAAGCGGAGGAGGTGTGTTTTTAGGCGACTCTTGAAGACTGGCAGAGAGGGGGACAGCCTAACTGAGGGTGGCAACTGGTTCCAGAGTAACGGTGCTAGGACTGAGAAAGCCCGGTCCCCGCGAGTACGACACCTAGAGCGAGGGACAGCGAGCAGGCCTTGGTCGGAGGAGCGCAGAGCGCGTGATGGGGAGTTTCTGTTCAGGAGCGTGGCTAGATAGGGGGGGGGGAGCACCACCCTGGAAGAAATTGTAAACAAAGACGAGGAGTCTGAAGTGTGAGCGATAGCAAACTGAAAGCCAGTGCAGGGAGGCCAGAACCGGACTGGTCCCGTTTCCTTGTCCCAGTCAGGAACCTGGCTGCGTTGTTCTGCACAACCTGTAGGCAGCGCAGTGAAGACTGACCCAACCCTGCATAGAGAGAGTTGCAGTAGTCAAGCCTAGAAATAACAAATGCATGCAGCACCCGCTCCAGGTGGGCTCTCGACAGCATAGGCTTGGTTTTAGCATACCTGCTGTTATGTGGAAAGTTCACCCACCAGCCTGCAGGACCTCCTCCAGCAGCAGGGAGCCCTTTTCAGTCGACCCATCAGTTTCACACGTTGTGTCTTTATGCTATGGGAATATTTGTTCATGCTCAGTGCAGTCAGGTTCTGGTCTGGATTCTGACTGGGCCATCACAGAACCTGGGTTCTGTTGTAGATCTGCTGATGTGTTTGGATCGTGGTTCTGGTGTCTGACCCAGTGTGGGCTGTCAGACAGCTGCACTCACATCAGACTACAGATGGTGGACCCAGTGACTGACAGGAGCCCAAACCATCAGCCCTCCACCACCGTGCTGACGGCTGGATCAGCTGTTTGGGGTTCTCTAACACGCGGCAGTGCTTTATGGGTAAACATCTCCATGTAAGTGTCACTGTTCCAGAAGTCTTGTGGTTCCTTCAGATACTTGACCAACCTGAGCTGAGTCATGAACTTTAACCTTTGACCTGCTGACTCAGGCCTGGGTCTCTTTGGGTTTCTGAAATTTCTCTAAGTTTTGACCTTTGACCTTGAGCCTGTTGGAGTGCCCGTTCCTAAAAAATATCAACAGCTGTTTAAGATTTAAGGGTTGTGAATTTTCCTCACAGTTCAACTTTGACCTTTAAGGGTCAGGGTTGGGGTGGGTAGACACTTGTCCAGGTGGGAGGGCGGAGTCTATCAGCTGTGAGACTTAGTGAGCTAGGATGCAACCCTAACCCTTTCACGTCAGCTGCCATCATGGTTGCGTTATGAAAATCGCTCTGAGTCTCCTGATGTCTTTGCCTCTCTCAGAGCTCAGAGGACGAGTCTCGCTGGGTGGAGGACCTGATGAAGATGCACACAGCCCGGGTCAGAGACGTGGAGCTCCTGACGGGTCTGGATCTGTATCGCAGAACCAGCCGGAGCCACACAGAAATCCTCTCTCTGAAGACCTTCATGCACACTTATGAGAGTGAGATCTGAAACGTCCCTGCTGTGGTGGAACAGTCGCTCCTCCTGCACGCTGACCCGCGCCAGCAGAGCGTCTGGATCCTCTCCTTCCTGCAGCTTTAGCACCACTGAGCCACCACTTCTACTGCACACGTCGCAACTCCCAGTCCCTAAAGCCCTCTGAAGCAGTCCCCCGGGCTTCTTGCGGTGTTGCAATAATTAGATAAAGTTTATTTAAAAAACAAATCTCTGTAAACTGTATTCGTGGCACAAAAATGTCATTTGAGTTTGTTTGGCTGCATTTGAAAAAGGAAAACAAGACGAAACAACTAGAAAACACTTGAGCGATACAAGCTTACGACTAGTGTGTTGTCCCTGAACCTGAACTGAAGTCAGCACCAGGCCGTCTGCAGGACAGGCTCAGCAGCCCCCGCTGTCACTGAGCAGCAGCTGCATGCCTTTGCTGAAGGGGCTTCTACAAGTGCACATACGTACGTAAGCCCCCAGGGCGGCTGTGGCTACGCAGTAGCTTACCATCACCGGTGGTGTGTGAAGGAGAGAGTGCATGAATGATGGAAAGTGCCTAAAAAAGCATTTTGAATTGAATCCATTCTATTTAAATTCTGTTAACAGATTTAATAAATGGCCGTTTTTGATATAGTGCCTTCTAGAATCCTGGAAACCCCCCAAGGCGCTTTACAACACAGTCATTCACCCATTCACACACACATTGACAGCCTAGTGGTGATGAGCTAGGCTGTAGCCACAGCTGCCCTGGGACATGGTGCTGGTAGTATTTGAAAAGCCTGAGTTGCACTAAGAGCTGAGATGAGCGGCAGCCTGAAGCTCGACTCCACTCCGACCCAAGTTTACGTCCTACGCTCCGTCTGCAGCCCACGCTGTACACGAGATGAGCTAACCTTTGTGCTAACCCCGGTTCACATGGCAGGATTTACAGAGCATGAGAGACCACACACAAGTGATAATCACACATACTCCAGTCTGGGTCCTACAGAGGGTCCTAGATGGAGTCTAGGACCCAGAGGTCCTAGACTCCATCTAGGACCTCTGGGTCCTAGACCCATCTGGGTCTAGGACCCAGAGGTCCTAGACCCAGATGGGTCTAGATTTCAGATTTCAGAATCTGAAATCTGAAATCTACAGTGTGAGACGTGCAGCAACTCAGCAACTGCTACAAACAACACCCAGACATTCCTCCGCTGACACGGGACATCTTATAACATCAAATGTGACTTAGAAGTAAACAAACATGGCAGCGGGGTGCGTACAGCATTCTTCTGTCTCCTCTCTTTCTGATTGGCTACAGGTCACATTCAACAGGCGGCAGTCTCATCTGTCCCTGAATATCAGACCAAGAAAAGCCAACGAGTTTCAAATCTCTGATTTATGATCCTGACTGATCAAAACACACCACACATAGTAGGATTATCTGATCAGATTGTCTTAAGAGCCGTGATGGTAATCAGGGAGGCCTTAAGATGACTGGACGGGCCAGAAATCATCATGATGGTCCTGTTGTGTGAACCGGACTTTAGATATGATTATTTGTTGTTTTATTTCTGCACAGTTACAATTATTTTAGTGAATTTTAAACATTTTCCATAAAAATACCACCTGTGAGTCTGACCTATTTATGTATTATGTGTATATTTTCTCCTAATTAAATAGTTTTTGTTAATAATGTGATGGGTCCTGTTGTGATATCGTAGCCTTGACTCGCCTCAACATTACAGATATTTACCACATCACTCCTCCGTGTAGATGGCTTCCCGAACAGCCTCTCCTCAGAGAAATGTGTTGCTGTTGTCCTAAAACAGCGCTTAGCTCCTACGTTTCACAGCACTTCCACAAACTGTTCCTATAAACCTTTACATCATCGATTCTAGGTCAGAAGTTATGGTCAAACTGCCTGATAGATACTATACTAGATAGATATGGTACTAGCCCTCCAACCTGTACTCGGTGTATCTGAGTGGGCCAGTACACTTCTAAAATGTACCCGTCATAAGTATTTTAATGGTAAAAAGCGTATATTTGATAAAACGCCTTCTAAGGTTGCACAACCCCCACGGAGCTTTACAACACACACACACACACACACACACACGCGCGCGCACACACACACACACACACACACACACACACACACACACACACACACACACACACACACACACACACACACACACACACACACAGAGAGAGAGAGAGAGAGATGGGGATTAGCTACATTGTAGCCACTGGTCCCTCCGACCACCACCAGCAGGCAAGGCAGGTGTCTTGCTCATGACTGTGACAGACGGGAATTGAACCTGCAACCCTCTGGTTCAGAGCAACCAGTCTGCTTTGCCTTACGCGCTGAGTCAAACATATGTTGTACTTAATTTTAAATGATAAATAATTGTCTTTTGATCGTGGTGAAATGTGAGATTTCTTAGATTGTAAAACTGGTCATTGAAATGCCTACAAATCAGAAGTCAGCAGCTCACATGGTGCATTACGGTAATTGAGCACTGGGGAGTCTTTGAAGGCGAAAACAATTAAATGAGTAAGTGAGCGGCTCAACCATAAAAAATACTTACAACCTACTAACTACTTTTTCCATATAGAGTAAATATTTTATAGCTTTCCTATAGATGTTTGGAGAAACTACCTCATAACGTTTAAGTGCGATGCCCCGAAGCTTTATTACCGTAATGCACCATGTATGTGTGAAACTAATCTTTACAAGAGCGCTGGCATCGGCTCGCTTTACCGCGGTCGTGTACCCGGTGTGCTTCATACGGTGTGTGAGGAGAGGCAGGCGGAAGCAGTGAAACGTCCAGCCCATAGATGTCTATGTAACTTTTTATACATACAATATAACCTAACCCTATGGTCCAGCCTGGGGACTGGAAAGCTCACGTTTCAGTGGGTCAGTGAACGCAGCATCACGAGAACACTTTCACTTCCTCCCGCTGAACTTCTGCCATCCCAGCGGAACCAGCGGGACCGAACCGAGCCCGGCGGGCGCTCGTGACTCACGCAGCTACGGTCAGCCGACACGATACGGTTGGTTGTGACGCGGCAGCGTTTCACGGAAGCAGCTCCCCGGTAGCTAGGAGTCAGCGTAAAGTTTGTCTGACAGCAGCGCGTCTTCCGGTAAGTCTCTGCTTGGCCGCTTCTTACCAACAGCCTCCACGCTGAGCTGTGGAGCGACAGGGCCGGTCCGGTTTTACCTGCGGTGAAGCACTCGAGACCTGCCCTGTACGTGATGCTGCGTCTGATTTAAAAGCACCCCATCTTTAATCTGCTCTCGTTTAAACACGCGGGCTACCTTCATCCACGGAGTGTCACGAGCTTGTAGAGTTGTAAGCAAGGGCGTAGCAACGAGTTTAATATTGGGGGTGGGGGGGTTGGGGGGCACGTTTTGGAAATCTAACATATCTGTTGTAGGTCAATATTTAGGCCAACCTCACTGAAAAAATACATTTAATGATTATTTCTGACTAACGGGTCACTGAGTGTTTCATGCAGGCTGAACATGAAAATAGTCTCCTACACCTGTCTCCTGCAATAGCTCCTGATAGAAAACAGACGGTGAAACTGTAGGATATGAAAAGCCTGACAGATGTGACTCAGGGTGTAAGGCAAAGCCCATAAAGTCAAGAAAATAACTTTTATAGCCGTGTTCACTAACATTCTTTATTTTTTTGATCGGGGACCCATGAGCCATCCAGAAGGGGAGGAGACTTAAAGCTCCCCATCAGCCAGATCCAGGTTTGATTACATGGACGTTTTATTAAAAAAAACAAAACAAAAAAAAAACAACAGTTTTTGTGTTGGTGCTGTTTTATTTTTATTTAATAATATGAATGTAGGATATATGATCTTAGTCATACGGGTAGAGATGTGTAAACACATTTAATACAAGACCAAAGCTGTGAATATTCAGTCTGAATTGATCCGACTCTTATCAGAATATTTTAAACTACGTCAGCCAACATGTAGGAGAAACTGGCTCGCTCAGCCATATTGTAGCGTTGTGGTTCTATGCTCTTTTATGAAAGAGGAACCATGCTACGTATTAATTCGGAATATTAATTTTTAATAAATCAATAACAAAATGTTATATTGTTAAGAAGACTCAAAGGTTGTTTTCATCGATAAACTGACGATAATATCTGTGTTTCTGTGTTTCAGTTCAATGAACAAACAAGTTTGGAAATTAAAAGTTTTATTTCTTCAAACTAGACTAATGATTTTGAAATTGACAAACATGGACATAACAATCAACATTGGCAACTTGTGGGACAATCTTTAACAGTTGATATGATCAAATAGACCTTGTGGTGAATTTATGAAGATTGAGAATGTTGTGATATGAATGCGTGTGTGAGTCTGATTTTGCTTCAGGAAGAAACAGGTGTCTGAGTGAAGTGATGGTTTGGATAAACTTAGGTCTTATCAGAGAACTGCATCAAACGCTATGGGCAGAATTTAGTCAAAAGCACAACTCACACGTTCGCCCCGAAGGCGAAGATGGGATAAAGCAAAGTACTGTCTGTAATTTGCGGACAATTTGAGATCGGAGATCTTCCACCGTCAAGTTTCCACCAGGACGTCTCCCGGAAGAGTGACTTCAGCGGAATAATTTCCGTCTTTTCCAAAATAAGACATCAAAGTGAAACACAGAGAAAAGGCGTAATTTGTGAAAAATTAGCTGTTAGATGATTGAAATCAGATATATCGCAGATATAGAAGTCTGGATATGCTCGCCATATCGTAAGGAGAAACTGGCTCGCTCAGCCATATTGTAGCGTTGTGGTTCTATGCTCTTTTATGAAAGAGGAACCATGCTACGTATTAATTCGGAATATTAATTTTTAATAAATCAATAACCAAATTTTATATTGTTAAGAAGACTCAAAGGTTGTTTTCATCGATAAACTGACGATAATATCTGTGTTTCTGTGTTTCAGTTCAATGAGGAAACCAGTTTGACAATTAAAAGTTTTAATTCTTCAAATTTGAAATTGACAAACATGGACATAACATTCAACATTGGCAACCTGGTGGGACAATCTTTAACAGTTGATATGCTCAAATAGACCTTGTGGTGAATGGATGAAGATGGAATATGAAGTGTGTTGGATGCGTGTGTGTGTGTCAGATTTTGCTTCAAGAAGAAACAGGTGTCTGAGTGAAGTGGTGGTTTGGATAAACTTAGGTCTTATCAGAAAACTGCATCAAACGCTAAATAACGTGTTCTGCCTCACCGACTTCGTGGACCCTCTTTCAGATCCGGGCCGTGGAGGATGCTGGTTCACCCAGATGACACCAGAGGCTGACAGAGGAGACTTAGGCGTCTACGGACCCGGTCCAGGAGATGCCCGCGGTACACGTGGATGACAAAGCGTTTGCAAATGCGTTTGTTAAGTTTAGTTCACTCAGAAATCAAAGACTCTGTATGAGTCTGCGTTAGAAGTTGCAATTCAGCTGTCCTGTCTGGCTGACAGGAACAGCGTGAGAGGGGGGGGTAAGAAACGAGCCAACCGGCTCCCCCCTTTTAGCGTTTATTCAGGTCCTCTCTCTTTCATTGTCAAGCACGAACTGAATTCATAAGACTGAAACTTACCAAAAGCCTTTCTCCTCTCAAAGCAAACGTGTGCGTCAGCGAATGTGTTTTGGAGTTTACTGTGAGAATCTGTGTGTGGGTGTGTTTGAGTGTGTGTGTGCTTGAGTGTGTGTGTGAAGGTCAGTAACAAACATCCTCAAACATTATCTAATTAAGTGTGGATTCATTAATCCATTATACAGGTGCTGGCCAGTAAATTAGAATATCATCAAAAGGTTGAAAATATTTCAGTAATTCCATTCAAAACGTGAAACTTGTACATTATATTCATGCAATGCACACAGACCAATGTATTTCCAATGTTCATTACATTTAAATTTGATATTCATAAGTGACAACTAATGAAAACTCCAAATTTGGTATCTCAAAAAATTAGAATATTCTGAAAAGGCTGAATATAGAAGACACCTGCTGCCACTCTAATCAGCTGATTTACTCAAAACACCTGCAAAGGCCTTTAAAAGGTCCCTCAGTCTTGTTTTGAAGGCACCACAATCATGGGGAAGACTTCTGACTTAACAGCTGTCCAAAAGACAATCATTGACACCTTGCACAAGGAGGGCAAGACACAAAAGGTGATTGCTAAAGAAGCTGGCTGTTCGCAGAGCTCTGTGTCCAAGCACATTAACAGACAGGCGAAGGGACGGAAAAAATGTGGTAGAAAAAAGTGTACAAGCTCTAGGGATAACCGCACCCTGCAGAGAATTGTGACGACAAACCCATTCAAAAATGTGGGGGAGATCCACAAAGAGTGGACTGCAGCTGGAGTCAGCGCTTCAAGAACCACCACGAGGAGACTCATGAAAGACATGGGATTCAGGTGTCGCATTCCGTGTGTCAAGCCACTCTTGAACAAGAAACAGCGCAAGAAGCGTCTCGCCTGGGCCAAGGACAAAAAGGACTGGACTGATGCTGAGTGGTCCAAAGTTATGTTTTCTGATGAAAGCAAGTTCTGCATTTCCTTTGGAAATCAAGGACCCAGAGTCTGGAGGAAGAGCGGAGAAGCACAGAATCCACGTTGCATGAGGTCCAGTGTAAAGTTTCCACCGTCAGTGATGGTGTGGGGTGCCATGTCATCTGCCGGTGTTGGCCCACTCTGTTTCCTGAGGTCCAGGGTCAATGCAGCCGTCTACCAGGAAGTTTTAGAGCACTTCATGCTTCCTGCTGCTGACCAACTTTATGGGGATGCAGACTTCACCTTTCAACAGGACTTGGCACCTGCACACAGTGCCAAAACCACCAGCACCTGGTTCAAGGACCATGGTATCCCTGTCCTTGATTGGCCAGCAAACTCGCCTGACCTTAACCCCATAGAAAATCTATGGGGTATTGTGAAGCGGAGGATGCAATACGCTAGACCCAACAATGCAGAGGAGCTGAAGACGACTATCAGAGCAACCTGGGCTCTCATAACACCTGAGCAGTGCCACAGACTGATCGAGTCCATGCCACGCCGCATTACTGCAGTTATTGAGGCAAAAGGAGCCCCGACTAAGTATTGAGTGCTATACATGCACATTCTTTTCATGTTCATTCTTTTCAGTTGGCCAACATTAGAGAAACAAACATTTTTTCATTGGCCTTTAGAATATTCTAATTTTCTGAGATACCAGATTTGATGTTTTCATTGGTTGTCACCTATAAATATCAAAATTAAACGTAATAAACATCGGAAATACATTGGTCTGTGTGCATTGCATGAATATAATGTACAAGTTTCACGTTTTGAATGGAATTACTGAAATATTTTCAACCTTTTGATGATATTCTAATTTACTGGCCAGCACCTGTAATTACCCAAAGCATAAGAATCATTCATTTGATTAAACACATTCATAATGAGCAAAATGATAATGATTACTTTAACATTAAAATCAAGAAACAAAGTTTTAAGACTTGTTATGTTATGACTACTTTTATGGGAACAACATCTTCTGGCACGAAGCTGCAGGTGGCAGATGTTATGGTTTCCTCCCAGACTCGCTGGCGTTCAGGTCTTAATCTGTGGGTGAAAGTTCTCAGCGACCCAGCTTTGACCCAGCTGAGTCCAACACCACCTTTGTGACAGAAAACCCATATTTCCTCACGTTACAAACAATTCTGACCAACTATCTGAAAAATCTTTTTGCTTCTGACAGAATGAAAAAAGAAATAATTCACTCACAACAACAGCTGGAACTACGTTATTTTTCAGATGGCCAAAAAAAAAAACAGTGGCCACAGTTGCAGTCTGAATGCACCAGAATGTATTTTATTCATAAGTCATACTGCCCCGCTCTACTTGTTATGGGATTAAATACATGCAACTGTGTTCACTTATGTCATGGATTTTATCAATATGTTTATCAATAACCCATTTCCTATAGTCGAAGACAAAAAGGAGGCAATGAACAGACAAGTCAGACAGTTATAACTGTGGCACAATGCACGAGGCAAAATGCCCCGAACATCTGGTCAGAGAGAGAGAGAGAGGGGTCAAGAATGTGTGTGGGTGTGTGTGAATAAGTGGACATGCAGAGAGGCATAGATAAGAAGAAATGTATTTATCCCGAGGGAAATTCTTGTGTCATGTACCATAGAGCAATACATTTACATTCAGTTGTTTGAGTCAATGATCAAGAATTAATGAACATAAAATTTCCATAACATATCACATCCAAATCTTCCTCTCATCAGCCATCCAAAAACCATCTCACTCTCCACTGTAGCACCTACCTGCACCTCAGCAGGTCTGGCTCTGCCTGTCTCACCCTCAGCAGGTCTGGCTCTGCCTGTCTCACCCTCAGCAGGTCTGGATCTGCCTGTCTCACCCTCAGCAGGTCTGGATCTGCCTGTCTCACCCTCAGCAGGTCTGGCTCTCCCTGTCTCACCCTCAGCAGGTCTGGCTCTGCCTGTCTCACCCTCAGCAGGTCTGGCTCTGCCTGTCTCACCCTCAGCAGGTCTGGCTCTGCCTGTCTCACCCTCAGCAGGTCTGGATCTGCCTGTCTCACCCTCAGCAGGTCTGGCTCTCCCTGTCTCACCCTCAGCAGGTCTGGCTCTGCCTGTCTCACCCTCAGCAGGTCTGGCTCTCCCTGTCTCACCCTCAGCAGGTCTGGCTCTGCCTGTCTCACCCTCAGCAGGTCTGGCTCTGCCTGTCTCACCCTCAGCAGGTCTGGCTCTCCCTGTCTCACCCTCAGCAGGTCTGGCTCTGCCTGTCTCACCCTCAGCAGGTCTGGCTCTGCCTGTCTCACCCTCAGCAGGTCTGGCTCTGCCTGTCTCACCTTCTTCATCATTTCCTGCTGAACCTGATCTGATATGTTGTATGGAAAAAGTGACATGAATAAGGTTTAAAATGAAATGTGATGAGAACGTCACAAACAAGCAACAACCACACTTACAAACTATTTTATGTGAGATTCTACTTTTTTTAAATTTATTTCGTGTCAAATGGTTTTTGTCTGTTCTTGTCAAACTCGCAGTTTTTTGTTGACTAGTGATGTTGTTTAATGTTTAAAGCTGCCTAGCTAGCTGTTTACATAGTCAGCCAGTCTAACGTTTCACCAGAAACACAATTATCCTCTTGGACTAAATTATTACCAACTCACAATTCTTTTATTTATTTTTTGCGCATGAGAAGAACTCGCTGAGCTGCTGTCGTCTCATCTCTGACAGCTGTGTCTGCGCCCCGCCTCCCACTCCCTGGGGGGAGGGGCTGTGTCGGTGAGAAGTCTGCTGTGTCTTTCAAAATAAAAGCTCGCGAGTCAAATATTTCAAAATCAATTGTTTTCTTCTCCATTTTGGGGGGGGGGGGGGGGGGGGGAACAAATGCGCGTTTGTCCAATATTGGAGGGGACACGTCCCCCCGGTTCCTACGCCCTGGGTTGTAAGTAATCATCTAACCCACCTTTCTTCAAATCAAATGTGATGTCACGGTACCAGGTACCGGTGTGAGTTCCCCCGTCCACATCCGTCTCTTTTCCGGCTGAGAGTTGGAACCAACCACTCGCACAACAATCGCAACCTAACCCTAAGAAGAACCTCACAATCGTGAGAATATCTTAAATGATGGTTGGGGCATGGGCGTAGTTTAGACTTTAGAAGTGGGGGGGACACAACCGCCAGGAGGAGGGGGGCCCTATACAGGAAGTATATTATATTTACTCTGGTCACGCGTGTCAAACACGGTAATACTGATTTAAATGACATGCGTGATGCTTTTTCCTCGGTGTGCTAAATGTAGCAGTTTACAGCGTTAACTTTAGGGTCATGTGACCAACGTTTATCCTTAAAACTCACAGCTTCTCAGCAGAAACAAAGTCCTCCAGTCTGAAAACAGCCAGACTCTGGAGCAGAACGTGAAAACGACACATAAATGATGAAAACTTTAATAAAATAAGTGGAGAAACAAAAGTGGATTTCCCTCGTTGCCATGGAAACATGTAAACTCTGCAATCTAACTAAATAGCTACACAGCTTTATGGTCTCTGTCTTAGCTCTGATATCGCTGTAGTCCTCGTAGGCATGAATGAATAACTATTGCTCCATCTGGATGAAGCACGAGGCTCTGTCCTCTCCTTACATTCTCGTTTATCTGGCATTGATTAACGGGGTCTGCCTGTGAATGCACGTGAGCCTTGATTGCCGATAGGAGATTGAATCCACCTGAGAATCATTCGTGGAGCCGGCTAAACCGGGGGGGGGGGGCTTCTCAAGCAGGGATTTATCAGATCTCAGATGTTCTAAACCCGCTTTCTGGAAAACCCCTGGCAGCTGGCAAACTAGAGAAAAGGTGAGCATGTCCTGTTTACAACAGCAGGAACGGCCAATCACACGTCAGCAAGTTTCAGCAGAGCCAACAGATGAGCTTGTGGGAAACGGGCCTTGACACAGGCGGTTGTTTTCCGCTGGTCCTAGAGCTCAACCAGTGACGGTTTAATGTAACGTAATGTTGTTGTTGGACGGTCAAAAGTCCCGGGGACAAAAACTGACTTTGGAAAAAGTGGAGGGGCGTGTCCCCCGCTACGTCCATGGGTGAGGGGTATTGAAACAGTTCTCGACGGGAGAACTCCCTAGCCTGGCAAGCCAGACTAAATTTAGTCTGGCCACGCTCCACTGACGGTTCTCGGTTGTGGGGCGGGTTCTACCGTTGTCTTTCAAATGATCTCCGCATTCCACTGGACAATGAATGTGACATCCTCTTGTTTCACTCTGTTGCATCGTCCCACCCACCAGGCATATAGAGTGCCCTGATTGGCCCACAAAGTGGATGAAGCTCTGTGATTTGTTCACTAAGCAGATAGAGCACTATGATTGGCCCACCATTATGGACCAATCACAGCTCTTTATTTGTTTGAAACCCCTCTAGAGAGCTGTGATTGGCCAGGCAGAATGCTGTTGGGGCTGCAGAGGTTCCAGTGGAGCGTTGCTAGACCAAACTTTGTAAAGCAAGAATTTGGTCTAGTTCACTCGGCTATGAACTCCCAACCGTAGAGATGAAGAACGTCACCCATCTTTGTCGTTCGTTTTTCCAGAGACAGCAGGGCGCGGCTTTACCTGCAGCACTGATGTTACGGCTTCCTAATCAGGAAATACCTTGTGTTCTTTATCACAAGTTTATGTACAATTCCCAGGGATCCTCGAGGGCCGGTATCTAGCACGTTTTAGTGGTTTCTCTGCTCCAACACACTTGATTCAGTGGTTGAATCACCTGTGCAGCTCATCAGACGCTGCAGAAGCCTGTTGATCACCTGCTGATTGAAACAGGTGTGTTGAAACTAAAAGCTGCTGGACGCCGGCCCCCCGGGCCCAGCTCCGGATAGCCCTGACCCAAACTACTACGTGTTATGTGGTGTTCCATTGTTACGTTCTATTCTTTGGAGAATTTAGTGCAAGTAAAGTTTTAGTGTTTAAGCGGTTCCTGTTTACACGTTCCCCCTTAAGTAAATATTTTATTTATGTTATAAAACGCAAGTCTGACGTTTCTGCTGCTCCCTGAACCTACCACCGCTGAAGGCTCTTTATGCTGGTTCAGGACAACAAAGTCCATGTTGACCTTTCTGGGCTTGTGTCGTTGCACAGATGTGACGGTTCTGTAAGCATGGGTCAGGCAGAGGAAGTCAGAGTCTCCTGCCTGAACGCCTTGACCTACCACCGGGAGCTGCTGGTGTCCATGCTCAGGAGCATCCAGTGCCTCCTGGACAACCTGTTGGAACAAAGCTTCTTCTGTGAGGAAGACGTGGAGATAGTTCAGCGTGCGGTCACCAAACCAAACCAGGTCAGATGTTCAGAAGCAGATGTTTAACCTGAGAACGTAGTTTAAACTATTTCCTTCTTTTGCCTTCCAGGTGCGCAAAATCTTGGAGCTCGTCCAGTGCAAAGGGGAGGAAGCATGTGACTACTTCCTTTACATCATTTATAAAGTGTGTGATGCTTACGTAGACCTCCAGCCATGGCTGAAGGAGATCAACTACAGCCCGAGCAGGCATGTAGCCGCGCTGAGGGTGGACAACACAGACCCCAGTAAGTGTGACCTCATAGATCGCAGTTCTGCCTTCCTGTCCTCAGCTGGAGCCGCTCAGTCCATCTCTTCTCCTCCGTTCTCCTCCGTTAGCGTCCTCATACGGTCAGCATCTGACCCGTTTATTCACATAGCACCAAGTCACGAGTCCTCTCAGGGCACCGAGTTAACGTTCCAGTAACTACTGGCTGCTGGGTCAAAGCAGGGCTGTGCGATAGAAAATGTCTCGTTTTATATGAAGCTGTATCGTTTACGTCGCGGTTAGGAGTTTTACGGCAGTATTTTACGTCAAAAATCACTTTACGGCATGCCCCTGCAAAACAAAAGAAACGAGCATGGAGGAAGACGGTAGAAATGGTAAATGGCCTGTATTTGATATAGCGCCTTCTAGAGTCCTACAACCCCCCAAGGCGCTTTACAACACAATCAGTCATTCACCCATTCACACACACATTCACACACTGGTGGTGATGAGCTACACTGTAGCCACAGCTGCCCTGGGGCGCACTGACAGAGGCGAGGCTGCCGAGCACTAGTGCCACCGGTCCCTCCGACCACCACCAGCAGGCAATGTGGGTTAAGTGTCTTGCCCAAGGACACAACGACAGCGACAGACTGAGCGGGGCTCGAACCTGCAACCTTCCGATTACGGGGCGAGCGCTTAACTCCTGTGCCACCGTCGCCCCGACGGCAGTGCACGCGTTCTCAACCAGGTTCAAGAAGATGAGCAGCTAACCCAAACCGAGGAGCTCGTAGGTAAAAGAGGGGCAACAGCGTCTGTCTCATGGACGTGGTTTGGATATAAAGAGACCGACGTGGACCAGACAACAGTTATTTGTAAAGTTTGCCGCCTCCCGGTCCCAACAACGGACTCCAGCACCACAAAGTTATTTTATCTCCTGCACAAAGACCATGACAAAGAATACGGGGACAGTCAACGGGCAAACGCTGCAACAGCTGCGTCGAGTGTTGGAGTTGGCGTGAGCGCTCATAACAAACTGCAGACGCTGCAACAGGCTCTTACTCGTGGCTCGCCGCAGAGCCACAGCTCCCACAGGTGGAAGGAGGTTACTGCTGCGGGCGCCAAGCACATCTGCAAAGACATGGCGCCAGTCTACACGGTCGAAGCGTGGGTTTCGTGAGCTGGTGCAGACGCTCCATCCGAGATACGGAATGCCCGGCCGAACACACACGACCAAAGTCGTGTTACCAGAGTCCTGCTTGGAAAAAAGTCCCTAAATAAAATAAATATTTAGTTCCTACCACCTTTGTTTGTATAACATCATGTCCAACTGCATTGCCTCATTGTAATTTTACATAAACTATTCATGAATTGAAACAGAATGAGCAGAAAAATCGTTGTACCGTGACGTATGTCGTTATCGGGATATGACATTTTGGCCCAGCCCTAGGTCAAAGCTCACCTGTAGCTCAGACAGCGTTTGGTTTGACACATAAAACAGTCAACGAGACCGTCTCGATCACGAGGACCCCTCCTGGTTTATTCCTCTCCGTTGGGCCTGTGGCGGACTGTGGACCTGTCCAGGCCTCTGCACCGGTGGCCCTGGGCGTAGGGGACGGGACGGCTGGGGATGATCAGATCTAACTCGTGAATGAGAGTTGACGTTTGTCCCCACAGAGACCAGGTGTTGACTGTCCCTCTCGTTGGTAGTCAGCAGGTACAGCGAGAAGCTGAGAGCTGAGATGAGCCGAGACACCAGCTTCATCATGTCGTACGGGCAGCAGGACGAGACCCGGCTGGAGGACCTCTACACTCACACCGTGATGGAACTGCTGAACGACTGCAATGAAAGCCTTGGCTTCATGGACAGTTTGGACCAAATCCTGGGAGAGGACGGGGTGTTCAATCCTCAGGGTGAAATCTTCTATGTGATGGGGGACGCTGGCGTGGGGAAATCCATCCTTCTGCAGAAGCTCCAGAACCTCTGGTCTAAGAAGGAGCTGCAGACGGACGCCATCTTCTTCTTCAAGTTTCGCTGCAGGATGTTCAGCGTGCTGAAGGACACCGACCGGATCTCTCTCAGGGACCTGCTGTTCAAGTACAGCTGCTACCCCGATCACGATCCTGATAACGAAGTCTTCGAGTACATCCTACGCTTCCCTGAAAAGGTTGTTTTTACTTTTGATGGTTACGATGAGATCCAGGAGGATCTGGAGCAGGTAAACGCTCCTGAAATGGCTTCACCAGAAGAAAAGGCCACCTCCCTCCAGCTGCTCAACAGCTTGCTCTGTGGGAAACTACTCCAGGGCTCCAAGAAGGTGCTGACCACCCGAATGGGAATAGAGATGCAAAGTCGGGTAATCAGGAAGAAAGTGGTGCTGCGTGGGTTTTCCCCGGATCACCTGAAGGCGTATATGAGCCTGCACTTTAAGGAGCAGGAGCACCGGGAGCTGGTGTCGGTGCAGCTGGAGGCCAGCCCCCACCTGTGCGGCCTGTGCTCCACTCCGCTCTTCTGCTGGATTGTGTTCAAGAGCTTTACACACCTGCACACCGTGCACGATGGTTTCCATCTGCCGGACACCTGCGTCACGCTAACGGACATCTTCCTGCTGCTGTCTGAGGTGTTCCTCAGCCGCTTGGCCTCCCCCACGCCTTCTCTGCTGAAGAAAAGCTCTCGCTGCACCTCGGAGACCTTCCAAGCAGGCCTCAGGCCTCTGGCAGCGTTTGCCAAGCTGGCCCTGCAGGGTTTGGAGAGGGGGAGTTTCCTGTGCAGCCTAGAGGAGATCCGTGAGAGTGGTCTGACGGAGGAGGACATGGCCCTGGGTTTCCTCAGACCTGCCAGTGACTGTGACTCCAGTGGAGGTTCTGCTACCCTTGAGTTCCTCCACATCACCCTACAGGCGTTCCTGGCTGCACTAGCTCTGGTGTTGGATGAGCACGCCCCAGCCAGGTCCATCCTCAGGTTCTTCATCGAGTGCAGCAGGAGAAAACCGTCCTGTCTGCCGTTCACCCTCTGCAACGGCAGCTCTGTGAGTCTCGGCCAAAGGAAACCATTTGAGAAGAACGAGCACCTCCAGTTCGTGAATCTGTTTGTGTGTGGGCTGCTGTCGAAGGCTCTCGTGGGTCTGATGGGCCATCTGGTGTCTCCCGCCGTGTTAAAGAAGAAACGAGCCTTGTTGAAGTCTTACCTGTCCACTAGTGTCAAGTCTCACCTGCAGGGCTTGCCCACCTTTGAGGGAAACGAGGGCAAGAAGGTTCATGTTTTGCCAAACTTCCTGTGGATAATCAGGTGCATCTACGAGACGGGCAGCGAGCACATCGCCCGGACGACGGCTAAAGGCATCACAGCCAGCTTCATTAAGCTGGGCTACTGCAACGTGTACTCGGGGGACTGCACCGCCATAAACTTTGTTCTGCAGCACCGCCAGAAGCTGCTGGGCCTGGACATGGACAACAACAACATCGGTGACTACGGTGTCAATCAGCTCCGGCCATCCATTAGCAAGATGACCGTAGTCCGGTAAGAATGGCTTTCCATCAGTTCATTTATGGCTGGGTCTTTTATTGTGAAGGGGTTTTAAAGGAAGTGATGTTCCTGATGGGAGGAAGTGTTGCCATTCTAGTTTATAGGAGCTGAAACGTGAGTCAGGCACGTTTCTGCTGCAGCCGCCATGTTGGCATCAGCTGCTACGAGTGAGACGGGCCGTTCTCTGGCCAGAACGTCTTCCAGAACGAGGTTCTGTTTCAGAGCACCGACCCGCTCACTGGTGCTGCAGATGTTAGACCAGAGGTGCTGGTGGAGCCTTGGCTCCTGGCTGGGTGCTCCACCTCTATACGGGGACAGGCTGGGGTCCTGCAGGTGTGCTGAGACACCAGACAGCTCTGGATTATTTCAGCCCTAATCTGTGTTTGAATCGTAACCATAGCAACTCTCCTGGATCCAGATTGTGTGTGAACAACCTGTCAGACCGCAGCGTGGAGGTGCTGGCAGAGGAGCTGTGCAGGCACAGGGTCATCAGGGTCCTGGGGTGAGTGAACACGAGATGCACACTATCAGGTACACCTGCTCAGCTCCTTACTCAGACATCTAATCAGCCAATCAGACGGCAGCATTTATCCATCTACAATCGATGAGGGAGAGAGGAGATTTAAGGGAGTTTGAGCGTGAGTGACATGGTTGTTGGTAACAATCTGGTCAACTGGGATTAGAACCCACAACCATCTCTAGGGTCAGAGCTCAGATCGGTTCTGTGACTGGGAACTGAACACAGACATGTACATGTAGACGCCCCATGGACCGGCAGGCCGCCATCTTAGATGGGTCTCCATTCACATTGCTGTGGAGAGTGAGACCTATCCAACATGGTGGCAACGCTGTTACGCTCTCCAGTGCCCAATGGGGCGTCTACATATCCATGTCTGGTTCTGAAGGTAAGGAGTACCTGTGAGGATTAGTAACTGTATCTGATTACTTTGGGAGGTAGCCAAAGCAGTGAAGGTGGTTTGTGTTGCAGGCTCTACAACAACAACATCAGTGACACTGGAGCTCAGCTGGTCGCTCGCGTCATTGAAGAGTGTCCCAGACTGGAGGTCCTCAAGTAAGTTCAGGCGTGGGGTCATGATGGCGACGGGATGTTTGTCTGACGCCGCTCTTCTCTCCTTCAGGATTGGTAAAAACAAAATCACGAGTGTTGGTGGGCGGTGCCTGGCTGCAGCCGTGCAGAAGAGCACCTCCATATTTGACGTGGGGTGAGACCTGATACTGGTCCTCAGGCTGTGATCAGACCATCACATGACTGGGCGGATCCCAGTCCCAGTGAATCACCTGTGCTTGTGTCCAGGATGTGGGGAAACAGCATTGGTGATGAGGGCGCTGAAGCATTCGCTGAAGCTCTGAAGAACCACCCGAGGCTCACCAACCTCAGGTAAGAACAGCTGATCAGCAGGTCCACGCGCAGTCAGCTGAGTGTGTGTGTGTGTGTGTCTGCTGCAGCCTGTCGGCCAACGGCATCACCTCCAGAGGGGGAGCGTGTCTGGCAGAAGCGCTGCTGCAGAACGGCGTCCTGAGGATATTCTGGTAGGTGTCGTGTCTGAGTAACCAGTGGAGAGCCTACTGGTCTAACTGGGGAAGGTTAATCTAATCAGCAAGCGGTGGCGTCTCCAGCTGTTGATCCGTGTGTGAACTGGTCTGTGTTGCAGGCTGGTGCAGAACGAGCTGTGTGATGAAGCAGCTCCACGCCTGGCTGAGCTGGTGCGAGCAGACACCGGCCTAAGCCACCTGTGGTGAGACTCGGGCATGATCCCTCTGGGCTGCTGGAGCTTCCTCACACAACCCTGTGTGTCTGTCTGCAGGTTAATCAGCAACAGGCTGACGGCAGCAGGGCTCCAGCACTTAGCCGAAGCTCTGGCCGTCAACACCAAACTCAAGGAGATCTGGTGAGTGTTCCTCCGGTCCGCCATGATACCGCAGACAAGAATCAGAACACAAAAAAGTGCGGCAGCGTAGCTGGTGTGTGAGAATGTTCAGTAACTGAAATGTGGTCATCAATCAATCAATCAATCAAAGCTTTATTTATAATCACACACGCTGCAGCTGGTCTGGAGGTACAGACCTGAGGGTAATCTTTGTTCGTACGGTGTCTAGTTCCTGTCAGCAAGGTAAAGACACCTTTCCTGTTACATGGTTGCTGCGTTATCGAGCCACGCGGCGATCTGGGGTCATAGGTCACCGGCTGAGCCCCCACAGTAACACCAGCTCCTGCTGGAGGGGTGTGACAGGCAGTGGCTGTAGCACAATGCATTGTGGGTAGTGGGCGGCTGCTAAAAACATGGACGTCCACAGCAGGCCAGAGGAGCAGCCTCTGTTCAGAGAAGTGGCTAATGAGCTCAGGAAGCCTGCAGACACATTTATGTGAATATTTAGGGTTAAGTCACACGTTCACCGTCAACAACAAACATAAAGCAAGTTATTCATGGAGTTTCAGTCGGGACCAACTAAACCATGTCTGCCCCCCCCCCCACAGTGTGAAGGGCAACCTGGTGTCTGAGGAGGAGGAGAAGCTGTTCCTCACAGAGAACCGTCTGCGCTTCCACTGACCCGCGTGTTCCTGCTGGTGGGCTGGAAACAGGAAGTGGAAACCACACATGCGGGACTTCCCCAAAGCGTTTCTGTGAAGCTGTTGCATGTTCTAGACGCTGCCGGGTCTCCAGGAGGATGTGGGTCATCAGCAGCTGACGTTGTGATCGTCGTCCTGGAGAATAAATCTGTCTGCTGCAGCTTGTGGTGGTTTAACTGACTCACGGTGTTCCTGGTTCCCCCGCCGCCCAACTGACCCTCCATCGTACAGAGCTCCGTCACACGGGTCACATGACACACGGGTCACATGACCCCACAAGGTTTAAGAAGGACAGGCGATGCCAAACTCCTAAACCCGTCCACTTGGTTTCAGTTCTGCGCTTCTACGAATCGGGCCACCGACAGAGCGGAGGCTGCTGAGCACAGGCACCACCACCAGGCGGGGTGAAGTGCCTTGCCCAAGGACATGGCGACAGTGGCCGTGCACATAGACCAGGCTGTTCCTGACATTAAACAAAAACAGCCTTAGACTGTCACGTAAGCTGCTTGTCGAGTGCGTGCACATGTGTGTGTCTCTGGTGTGTGTGTGTGTGTACATGTGTGTGTGCGTGCATGCACGTGTGTGTGTGTCTGGTGTGTGTGTGTGTGTACACGTGTGTGTGCGTGCATGCACGTGTGTGTGTGTCTGGTGTGTGTGTGTGCGTGCATGCACGTGTGTGTGTGTGTCTGGTGTGTGTGTGTGTGTACACGTGTGTGTGCGTGCATGCACGTGTGTGTGTGTCTGGTGTGTGTGTGTGCGTGCATGCACGTGTGTGTGTGTGTCTGGTGTGAGTGCGTGCACGTGTGTGTGTGTGTGTGCGTGCACGTGTCTCTGGTGTGTGTGCGTGTTTCTGGTGTGTGTGTGCGTGCACGTGTCTCTGGTGTGTGTGCGTGTATCTGGTGTGTGTGTGCGTGCACGTGTGTGTGCGTGTTTCTGGTGTGAGTGTGTGTGCGTGCCTCTGGTGTGTGCGTGCCTCTGGTGTGTGTGCGCACGTGTGTGTGTCTCTGGCGTGAGTGTGTGTGTGCGTGAGTGTGTGTGTGTGTGTGTGTGTGTGTGTCTCTGGCGTGAGTGTGTGTGTGTGTGTGCGTTGCGTTGGGTTAAGGCGTTCAACACAAAAAGATCGTTTTACTCAGATTTATTGCTGATACTTTACAGGAAGAGCTGCAGCTGGTTGTGCAGCGGCCACGCCTGCAGTGGTGCATGATGGGAGGTTCCTCCTCCAGCAGCTGGTAAACTACTAAACCATCGTTAGGAGACAGACAGGAGAGGGAAAGGTCACATCTATTAAGGCTTGGTGAACATGTCCTACAATCAGCTGTATGGTCAGACGTGGAGATCAACAAGCATCAGTACAAAGTCAGAACTGAAAGAACTCCATCAGAGCACCAAGATGCTCGCCATATGGCTGCAAACAGGAAGTGGAGCTTCCACAGCGTAACACAAGAGCGTCGACAGCAGAGGTCCCACAGCTGCAGCACCAGCCTGCGGGGCTTCTGGAAGGTTCTCCTGTGACCCAGTCATCCCACGCAGAAACGTCCCGTCAGTCTTTAAAGGGTCAGCTCCAGCATGGCTTCTCAGAGACACCAGAGGAGGATCTTCAGCGCTCCTCTTCACAGTGAAACGTTGTTTTTCCTGATCAACAAGCAGACTAAAGCCTTTAAACACGGCCGCGTCGCGTCTGAGAGGCTCGTTCGGGTTCTGCTGGCAAATAAACATTCAGACACTTCTCCCACCAGCCAGCTCTTCTACCTTCTGTCCTGTTTGATAGGGTCAGGGTTAGGGTCGTGACCCCGACCCTTTAGGAGGGTTAGGGTCGTGACCCCGACCCTTTAGGAGGGTTAGGGTCGTGACCCCGACCCTTTAGGAGGGTTAGGGTCGTGACTCCAACCCTTTAGGAGGGTTAGGTTCGTGACCCCGACCCTTTAGGAGGGTTAGGGTCCTGACCCCGACCCTTTAGGAGGGTTAGGGTCGTGACCCCGACCCTTTAGGAGGGTTAGGGTCGTGACCCCGACCCTTTAGGAGGGTTAGGGTCGTGACCCCGACCCTTTAGGAGGGTTAGGGTCGTGACCCCGACCCTTTAGGAGGGTTAGGTTCGTGACCCCGACCCTTTAGGAGGGTTAGGGTCGTGACCCCGACCCTTTAGGAGGGTTAGGGTCGTGACCCCGACCCTTTAGGAGGGTTAGGGTCGTGACCCCGACCCTTTAGGAGGGTTAGGGTCGTGACCCCGACCCTTTAGGAGGGTTAGGGTCATGCAGCAGTAGAGGGACGTCGTTCCCTTAAGCCAGAACTGGAAGAGGAGACGTTCTATTTGAAGAACTGAAACTAAAGCCTAACCCTGCTGCGTGGTTAAACGTGCACATGAAGTCCTCCATCTACTGCTGCTTTACTGTCACGCCTTCAGACCAGCACCAGTAAACCCACAGCTCTAATCATAAACCAGTTTACCGGCACTAACTCTGCACCGCTGGGAAGAGAGGATCAGGACGATCCCTCATCGGTTCTGGTCTGAGGAGCGTTCACCAGTTAGACCAGGGGACCGCTACTCCGCTGGGACATGTGGACATCACTCCTCAAAGGAGTGATGTCCACATGTCCCAGCCTTTCCACTGGATGTGTGAGCGGTCCAGACAGCACCAGGAGCGTTTCAGACACAACCACAGCTGTGCCGAAGAACCACGCCGGGCAGTAAAGGTTCTACAACCCCCCAAGGTGCTTTACAGTTCAGCCATTCACACCCTGGGGGGGTGCCCAGAGGAACCCGAGCCCTCACCGGTCCCTCCAACCACCAGCAGGCCAGGAGGGTAAGTGTCTTGCCCAAGGGCACAATGACTACCACAGACTGAACAGGGCTTGAACCAGCAACCCTCTGCTTACGAGATGGGCACTTTTCTTCTAATTCAGCTCGTGTTTGACTTCCTGTCAACCTAAACTACGCTCAGCACGATGTGGAAGCGCAGCACATAACTGGCCCTGGGGGGGGGGGGGGGGGGGGGGGTTCCGGTTAGGGCCGCTTCAAACCTGATCCCAGAGTTTCACACCCTCAGGAATGGAAACCAGGACATCCAGGACCCTAAGGAACCCTCCGGGGCCAGGATCTTCCTGGGGAGGCCGTCACCAAAAGGCCGGCAGATGTCTTCAGGGGTTCTCCATGTTGGTCACGACAGTCGTCCAGACTTCTCCGACCTTCCCAGACTCAGGAAGCGCGAGGTGTGCGAGCGTTTTCAGCCCTCTGAAGGCCAGATCTGGTTGATGGTTACATCACATGACCATCATGACCTGACCTTTAAGAAGCTTCCCAACAATGTGTCACTGGTGTCTCCAGCTAGCGTGGGCTGGCTCTGGTCTCCATGGTAACCAGCAGCTGGTAAACACTGATCCATCAAACCCTTAAAGAACGAATCAAGATGATTTTCCCTTTTTCACGAGTTTGTTCTCGTTTCGTTTGGACTTCCTGTTCATGTCAGATGTTCTCATTAGGAGCACTGCTGTGTCCACCCTACAGGGATGGTGAGAGAAACCTGTAGCCATGGCGACGGACCTCTGCAGACGGGTGTGGAGAACAAACTACAGCAGCCTGATTAGGCCCCGCCTCCCATTTCTGTTTATGTAGATGGTGACCGGTGTGTGACGGTCCTGGAGCCTGGACCCGGCTACATCCTGGTGACAAACAGGAACCGGACCAATCAGCTGGTTTTATGGATCAGCTGTTCCAGCCAGAGAGAGCACGGCGATCAGAGGTTTGAGGTTCAGGTCCACGGGTGAGACTCACAGCTGATTGGCACTAATGCAGGGGGGTGTGGTCTCTGTGCTGCCCTGTTGTGTGCTGGACATCACAAGGCACTGGGAGTGGGAGGAGTCAGAGATGAGGGCGGAGTGACCCTGTGTCGTGGGCGGGGCTCCGAGGCTGAGTGTAGACGTGAACCTCAAACATAAACACAAAGTTTGAATCCCTGAAGATCGCTGCGGTGACATTTGGCATCTGGTGGTCCTACGCTGGGTTGGGGACGTGGACGTCCTCCATCACAGTGCTCACGGCGTCCAGCCATCTCCCATCTGTAGGTCCTCTCCAGGTCGGCCTGTCAACCACAGAGACATCAGGGTCCTGGCACAGACACAATACCTGTCCAGGTGTTCAGCATTACCTGTGCAAGCTTTAGTCTGATGGATGCTCCGGACAGGACCGGTTCACCTCAAACCACTCATCGATACAGCTGTAGGGCGGGAGACACGACATCATCAACAGGTTTCAAACCCACAACCTTTATACGTGAAGCTACTGTTGAGAGCCTGAGGGGACGGGGAGGGACAGCAGGACAGGACAGGCTCTCCAGCTCCTGAATCATTTCTATAAACTTGTGACTTTTATGATGAAAGGAGCTAAAGCACCTTCTTCCTCTTTAAGGCAGCTGTCAGGTTTCATGAATAAACATGGATGTTAGACCCCGCCCACAAACAAACCCTTTATGGTAGACGCAGAGGCAGGGCAGGCGGGCAATGGTGTCTCCCTGCTGCAGCTCCTCCAGGCAGATGGCACACTCTCCTGCGTCTTTAGTCAGGACGTCCTCTGTAAGACACCGGGGACATCAGAGGCATGAGTCACACTGAAGCTACCGGAGCTTGGGCTTTAGGAGGAGCTGCATGATGACATTACCACAATAAGTTCTGAAAATCGCCACGTTTCACATGACCTTACACTAAGCCCTGACCAGTTATTCAGTGAAAGGCCACTGGGTGGCGCTGTTCTTCCACTCTGACAGATGAGCTGAATTAAACTTCATTGATGAACATCATTTATATAAATGTGGTGGTTTCTCATTCACTGGCGTCATGTGATCCAAGCAGGTTTCTCAACCCTGGTCCTCAGCACCCCCCTGTCCCCCGTGTTCACTCCTCTGTGGAGTGATGTCAACACCTGACTGTATGAATGAGTGAATAGCAGGAGCAGCACTTCATGTCATCTTAAAGAGGCAATGCAAATCTGTAAATCAGTCACAGATGTGTGTGTGTGTGTGTTTGTTTGCATGCATATGTGTGAGTACATGCATGTGTAACGTGCACATACGTGTTTGCATGCATATGTGTGAGTACATGCGTGTGTAACGTGCACATACATGTGTGTGTGTGTTTGTTTGCATGCATATGTGTGAGTACATGCATGTGTAACGTGCACATACGTGTTTGCATGCATATGTGTGAGTACATGCATGTGTAACGTGCACATACGTGTGTGTGTGTGTTTGTTTGCATGCATATGTGTGAGTACATGCATGTGTAACGTGCACATACATGTGTGTGTGTGTTTGTTTGCATGCATATGTGTGAGTACATGCATGTGTAACGTGCACATACGTGTTTGCATGCATATGTGTGAGTACATGCGTGTGTAACGTGCACATACATGTGTGTGTGTGTTTGTTTGCATATGTGTGAGTACATGCATGTGTAACGTGCACATACGTGTTTGCATGCATATGTGTGAGTACATGCGTGTGTAACGTGCACATACATGTGTGTGTGTGTTTGTGTGTGTGTGTGTTTGCATGCATATGTGTGAGTACATGCGTGTGTAACGTGCACATACATGTGTGTGTGTGTGTTTGTTTGCATATGTGTGAGTACATGCATGTGTAACGTGCACATACGTGTTTGCATGCATATGTGTGAGTACATGCATGTGTAACGTGCACATACGTGTTTGCATGCATATGTGTGAGTACATGCGTGTGTAACGTGCACATACATGTGTGTGTGTGTTTGTTTGCATATGTGTGAGTACATGCATGTGTAACGTGCACATACGTGTGTGTGTGTGTGTGTGTGTTTGCATGCATATGTGTGAGTACATGCATGTGTAACGTGCACATACATGTGTGTGTGTGTGTGTGTGTGTGCACCATAAACCCGTTACCTGCAGCAACACACGGGGTCATTAGGACAGATCTTATGTAACTGGATTAACCCACATAGGCTGTTATTATGGGCTGGAGCACACGGCATGCAGCTCAGCACACCGACTGTCGGGTCCTACGGTGAGAAGAAATGTAGAAACGAAACTAAAGGAAACTCCGAGCAGTTCCTTTTCTGCTGAGTCATCGTGTTTAAGACAGACTGAGGTTCTGGTAAAGACGGAGGCCGGTTCTACAGAGCTCCACTACTGTCAAGTACTTAGAGATACGTTCATAATTGTCTTTGTGTAAGTTGGGCTTGGCAGCTGATAACAACTCATGTTCGTATCAGTCTCTGATCACAAAGGTGGCCAGCCTCGAGGTCTGCTTTTGGAGCCACAGAGGCTCTCTGCACCGCTCTGACCACCTCTCCTTTCACTTCAGATCCACGGCTTGCCAACCATCACACACCCGCTTCTCCTCCCTCAATGCCTCTGCTCCTCCAGCACATTCTCCTTTGAGGTTAACAAAGCCACAGAGTCAATTCTTCAGCGTGGACATCTTGAACGACCTGACCTGGACTAGCAAATCCACCTCTGTGGTGAGGAAAGCACAGCAACATCTACTTTAGAACGGGGCACGGTGGAGAGGAGCCCGACTTTCTGCATCACTGTGTGGTTTGGTAACTCCGAAACGGCTGCTGGGGACAAAAATACCCCGAGGAGGAGGAAGTTGGGGTTTACCATCTTCTTCATTTGTTAAGCGTCTCATGATTTTATCTTGAGAGGCGTGGTGGAAAAGATGGTTAGCTTTCTTTTTTCCATAATTTATAAAAGTTGGGCATTTATATTTAAAAGCATCAGTCTGGAGCAACGTGGAACAAACGGAGTTCCAGGCTGGTGAGAATAAAGTATCTGTACATGTTGATGGTACTGTAATATTATATGTGATGGATTATACATCCTGTCCTGTATTTACTCCATCACGATGCATCCATGCTGCTCAGTACCACACCTGTATGATGTCACTAGTTACTGCAGAACCAATCAGCTGCAGAGCTGCTGGTGAACGTGTGAACGTGAAGAACTTGTTAAACTACGTGACTCAACTTAAGGAACAAAGTAGAACCCAGCTGCTGTTGTTTATTTGTTGTTGTTTACAGAAACTGAATGCATCTGCAGGGCTTCGGGCCGAGGGCGGAGTCTTGGAGCTCAGACGAACCACATCCAGACCTGTTATTAATACTAATGTGTTATTTACACCAATCAGAACGCTCGGTAGTGGTCACAGACATCCAGACCTTAGAGGTGACATAACATCAACATTAATACTTAAACATCAGGTGTCTGTGGAAGCTTTTCTACGTGATGTGGTCCAGCTGAAGCAGACATCTGCTCATTTCTAACAGCTGAGCTGTGGGAGAAAATATTCAGGTTATTTAATCCGGTTTTCCATCAGCTGTGGGTTTAGTGCATCGCCCAATATTAATTATAAACTATAAATAACGTCTGGCTGGAACGCGTTTCTAGGAGCAGAAGCTGGCTGGCAGCAGCTGATAGTCAGAGTAACACCGGCCCGACCTCGCATCGGCCCACCAGGACCGCCCCCAGCTGGGTCCTGGTTCCGCCGTCCCCGTTAGACAGGAGCAGCTCGTCCCGGTGACGCTGTGACACCAGAGCTGGCTCATGGAGCTCATCAGTGCGACTTTCATCAATAAACACAACTTAGATCTGTGGCACGTAGAAAAGCAAAACCACTGCACACCACGGGAGCAACCTTAATGAGCGTGTGCCTTTCTGCCGCTTGGGCGATGCGGAGCGGCGGGAAAACGCGTTTCAAACACGGAACTGACCGGAATGCTGACGTAACACGGTTTCAATCAGCAACAGGAGAGGGCAAACCGCCAGAGGAACCGGACTGAAACGTTTCTGAGCTAAACGTGTGGCTGTTTAAGCCACACCCACATCCCCCACGAGGGCGACGCCCATGCCTGTAATGATTCCCGTTTGTTCCACGCCATGTTTGCTTTATTTTGGTGTCCAAGACACCGTGCCTCTTCCAGCCAAGCCTCAACACCATCAGCCTCGTTCAGCCCACCTAACGGCCCCAGCCTCAGCACCATCCATCCATCCATCCATCCATCCATCCATCCATCCATCCTCTGAACCCGCAGGGTCGCGGGGGGAGGGCTGGTGCCCATCTCCAGCAGCCTCAGCACCATCCCTCTTTCCAGTTTAATATGAAACCAAGAATCAAAACGCCATTGGTGAAACAAAGTGAACCTGTAAGCGGCCCGTGGGACCGAACCCGACTCAGTGGTGGGGTTTACAGGAGAGGACGGTGTGTTTTGTCCTCAGCGTCTACGGGACACCCGGAAACCGACACGGAGCCGTGAGAACCTGCTTTGTTCAGGTTTACAGCACATTTCTGCTGTTCTCCACAAGCTGAACCATGAAGTAACGACTCGTCTTCATGGTGATTTCCTGTCTAGGTAGGTGGAACCGGGGCGGACTGGGACACAAACAACCCAGCGTCTCTGTTTGAGCGGGGTGGGTGGGGGGGGGGAGCGGGGGCCCCGGTGCTCTCCATGGCCAGTCCGCCCCTGATGGATCTGCGCTTCCTGCTGAGTGAACGCTCCCGACACATCGGTACCCGTCCACACGAACCCCACCCAGGAAGTATTAGAACGGGCCCTGGGCCTGCTTCTGGTCCGAGACCAAACAGAAGATTAGAAAACAAGATGGTTTTATTTTTGTGTCCCATCTAAAAACTCATGAAAAGCAACAAGCAGCAGTTAGAACAGGAAGTCGTACCGTTGTACGTGACTCTGGGCTTGGTTAGGCACAAAACCAGGTGAAGATCCATCTCATCTGAAGACACCAGCTTGGAGCAGACGGGGCACTTGAACCCTAAAAGCATAAAGATGAAGACCACGTTTAGACACACACACATGTATCCTCTTACATACTCCAGTTAACGCGTGTTGTTCCAGTGAGGTCATCCTGCTGTGACGTGCATCATGGTCATGCCCACAGCCCAGGACCGGTGAGCCTGCATCAGGCTCCAGAGAAGTCAGACACTAAGGATACGGTAATGATGACATCAGTCATGACGTTCCGCTCTGTTCCGCCATCACCATGCTCACAACCTTCCTACTGCTGTCTCTGCAGCGTCGTCGTTAGAAATGAAACCAGGTGAGAGCGTATCGGGCAGAGAGGCTGGAGCCGGTGGCCAGAAGCTCAGCGTCACTACCTTCAGAGAGAGAACCTCGTTTAGAGATGCATCAGGTGTCAGACATGCTTTTGTGATGATCATGGGCACAGAACGGGCCGGGCAGAGGACTAACGGCAACATAAATGTTCAGAAGTAACCCGGTTTATAGACACATCGATATAAAGAACAGCCGATCACTGTAAGCGTTGCTCTGCGCTGGACCAATCAGTGGCCGGAATAGAGCGAGATGAACGCGTTGCATCAGACTGGATCCTAACCGACTGAGGCAATGTGGGTTCAGCCGACCCAAACGGTACCGCCCTGGTGGGTCTGCCGATGCAGAAACCACAGATCACCACACATTTATTCAGAATCAAACTACCAACCACGGGTATTTAGTAGGACCGTAACAAGACATCCATCTACACTGATGTGGTCCTTGATCTGGATGTTTACGGTTATTCAATTCAGTTTATTTATAAAGCGCCAAGTCACGACCAGAGTCGTGTCAAGGACCTGCACACAGTAAACAATACAGGTCAGGTCACTGAGCCAATCAGCAACAAGCTTCCTATATGAGGAACCCAGCAGGTCGCATCGAGTCACTGACTAGTGTCAGAGTCTTTACAGCAATCCTCATACTAAGCAAGCATGCAGCGACAGTGGAGAGGAAAACTCCCTTTTAACAGGAAGAAACCTCCAGAGAATCCTGGCTCAGTATAAGCAGCCATCCTCCACGACTCACACACACACACACACACACACACACACACACTTCTACGGATGTTTCTGAGATGATCGGTAAAAACTACACGTCTCTAATGTTCGGTCACAGGTCTGCATGATGCCCTGGGTGCCATCTGCTCTTCAGAGTCTCAGCAACACGTCTTAGTTTGGTGTGATTGAGCGTCTGACAGCATCTTATCAGCATGGAGTCATAAACAGATGAGCTGCTCTCCATGTTCAGCAGCGTCGGCGTGCTGATTTACAAAATAAAGTATGAATTCCAGCTCTGCACCTCTTCATCAGGCATTCTGGAAAAGAAATGCTGATTGTTGGAGCCGAGCCCACAGGCGATGAGTCATCCAGCTGCTGTTTGTCCTGTTGCACGTCTGAGGTCACGCCTGCAGCCAGATGCATCGTAGCTGCGCTCTTTGAGGGAATGCTGTATTGTTGTGTCGCTCAGACACGGTGCAACATGGACAGAAATACAAACGTTCACCTCATTAGTTCATGTTTCAGGTTCTTTCCATTCATATTCATGTAAACAAGCTTCTGTAAGAGTGAAGCGAAGACCGACGGAGTCACTAAAGTACCTAATTAACTTCATAACTAATCAATCAGGATGAACAGGAGCTGGAGCTTTGACCTTTTACACATCGACACCTGACAACCACAAACTCTAAAGTGTTTTACTTAGGTTTTCTGTGTTTGCCCAACACAATCTAGCTCCTGGTTGTGAAGTGGAACGAAGCTGGTTCACCACTGAAGCTCCAGATCTGTGTTTAGGGTCGTTGTCCTGTTGGAAGGTCAACGTCCTCCCCAGTCTCAAGTCTGTTTATCTCCATCCATCTTCCATCAGCTCTGACCATCAGCTCCCTGTCCCTGCTGCAGAAAAGCATCCCCACAGCATGATGCTGCCACCGCCATGTTCCACAGTGGGGATGGTGGGTTCAGGTGAACAGTGGTACTTTTTCTTTGCATTAAGGCCCAAACGTTAGACTTTAGTCTGGTCTGACCGGAGCACCTTCTTCCACATCTCTGCTGTGTCCTCTACATGGTTCCTGGAAAACTACAAGTGGGACTTTTTATGTTGTAATTTAAATATTGGCATTATTCTTCCATAGAGGCCAGATGTGTGGAGGACATGTCTTTTAGCTGTCCAGTGGACAGATTGTCCCACCTGAGCTGTGGATTTCTGCAGCTCCTCCACAGTCACCATGGGCCTCTTGGAAGCTTCTGACCAGGGCTCTCCTTGTTAGTTTAGGTGGGCGGTCATGACCTGGTGGGTTAGTGGTTGTAGTGGACTATAACCTAACCTGCTTAGACTTGTCTAGAGCTTTATCCCTGACCTGTTTGCTGAGTTCGCTGGTCTTCATGTTGCTGTTGGTTCAGTGATGCTCTCTAACAAACCACTGAGGCCTTCACACACCAGGTGTACTTATGATAGGCGCGTTTACGCTGTTGGGACTTCCAGGCCGTGTTTAGGACACAACGGAGTACCGGAGTTGGAGCAGGTACTCGGAACGGCCTGGTAGAGTTGCTGAGGGAAGCCTGTGGTAAACTCACGCTGATGCTTGTACCTCAGTGGGAAATGGCAGCCATCCAGAGCACACACAGTCTGCAGGCTGCAAAAGACGAGCAACGGTGATCGGCTTGTAAGACTGGCACTGAAAGGCATTGATCCGAGTTCTCCGATCACATATTATTCATGGAAATCACCGATAATTACTGGAGGCTGAGCAATCGGAAACACAGCTACTGTTAACATGGAAAGGCCCTCTGTGAGGACATTTCCATATTTCATCATAAGCCCCAACACACACTCATCTGAAAGCACAACTTCTGTTTTT